CTCAGATCCTTGCCACTGCCGGCCACGGCACACATAGCTCACAAAAAAGTTACTGCTGCTCTCATGGATCCACTCCGAGCTGTCGATCATATTCCCAACCTATTGCCAACCCCGAGATCCATTCATATTACGTTTGAGTAGACATTTTAGTAAGCCGAGTCAATTGGTAAAGCCGATGTGAAGTTACGCATCCCATGAGAAGCAAAAGCCATACACGTTTACCGAAAGTTGCCCTGAGCATTTGCCTTTGTCATGAATTGACCTGAGCTGGTGCTGCTTTTACCTGAGTATAGGGTGAGCCCGTATCCGCCTTAGGCGTAGATCAGGAGCCTTTTTTGGCTGTCCTGGCCAAAGTTGCTATCTACTAAAAATGGGAATAACTATCGTAGGTAACTTTTCAGTTATACTTGTCATAACTCTATAGTATAGCTCCTTATTATTTCAATCAATCTATTACTATTTGTTAGATATCACTAGTTAGAGGAATTATTGCATTAGTAATAGTTGCCCTTTCGGGTTAGTCTCGCCGGGGTAATCAATAGTGAGTGAGTGAGTGAGTGACGATATTAATTAGTTAATCCATCATCTTCCGACACTTTCCTCTAGTGACTTAAAGTTCAAGCGCTAGCCTCGGAAAGGAAACCGAGGATCCCGTATTTCACCGTTTCATCATCTCCAGAGCGAATTTGGGGATAAATCTCGATTCTTTCCAACTACTAATAATAATGATGACAGACACACAGTCCGGGTTCCAAGTCCTCTCATTCAATCCTGATCTGCGAATTCGTGATTACAAAAAGCAAAGGTCACACAAAAAATCCAGATCTGGCTGCCTCCCCTGCAAGGTAAAGAAGGTCAAGGTTTGTGTTTTCTCTAGATTATCTATGACTGCCCATTGTTAATTACATGATATTAGTGTGACGAGTGTAAACCTATTTGCGAACGATGTCAAAGAAACCGAAGGCCAGGCGTATATAGCATGTCTTATAACCGTGAGCGCTATTACAAGAATGTCGACTGCGTCACGATTTCAGACTTCAGCGCAGTCATTAAGACCGCTATCCCTTGTCCCAGTCCAAAGAATGGCACCTCTGGTATTCACCTTTTCCATCATTTCTATACAAACTGGGATGACATATTCCATATACCTGGTCGTGACGAGCTAGCCTCACTTTCACAGTCGAACTCTCTCATCCGTAATACAATACTTGCTATTACTGCGTGTCACTTGCGACACATGTCTCCAGGGACATTAGAACATCGCATCGCTGAACATTACTATCAATCTCTGGCAATCAGAGACTTTCAAATAGCTCTGGAAACACCCGGAAAGTTACTAGGGCAACAAGGAGTGAATGCAATGCTGCTGGCTGCAATGTTGCTAAATATGATTGCCTTTACACTTCCACATCAAGAAAATGGGGCCGAAAATGACCCGATATCATCTTGGGTTTTCAGTTCGAGGGAGGACCGATTAGGATGGCTGGTACTGCAGGCGGGCCTCCGGCCTCTCTTGATCTCATTGTCGGCGTATTTGGAACAGACGGCAAGCTTTCTTGATCCCATCATGTTTGGCCACCGAAGAGTAGGTTGGATGACTGCCCGAAGACCCCAAAGCTTGGATATTGTTCCCGAGAGTTGGATTCGAGTATTCAGATTGAAGAATAACAGTTCTAGCTGTGATTCTGATGCCGATGCCGATCCGAATGATAGTCTTCGACCAGCCGCAATCGCGCTTGCATATCTGCGAGGCATCGATCCCCAGCAGTCAAAAGTATTCCTTAAGCTGATGTTTCTTACAAAGATACATGGAGATTTCAGATTGCTTCTTTACAATAAAGACGAAAGAGCGATGTGGCTGTTTGGGTACTGGCTGGGGCTCATGTGTCGATATGACGGAATCTGGTGGTGTGAACGGCGTGTGCGCAGAGATTATCAGGCTGTGCGCATGTTTCTTGATAAACTGCGTCTCAGTGAACGTGCCGGTGAGGATGGACTTTATTGGAAGGATATGATGCAAGAGCTGGAACAGGCGCCGGTTTTCACGCGAAGTGAAAAGTAGCCGTTTGCTGAAAGATAAACAATACCCATCGTCAGTTCTATTCACTTCACCTTTCATGTCCCTTACTATTGGATGTCGTACTATGTGCTTGTTAGAATATTGAACGTGAGAGGTTATTATCGCTATGCATCCTATATCTCGTTCACCACCCATCTCGCAATCCATGTTAGGGTACATGACCTAGGCTACCTGAACCACCTACACTCAGCTATCTCCCCCTCTCTCCACTGTACCTAATTACCTAGGTACCTAGAGAAGACACAACACAATAGACTTGCTTCGCTACCTAGGACAGGCAGGCTTATCCGGACTTCACTTCGGTATCGTGATCTTTGTGTCCCTTGTGTTCTCCTTACTGTTCCCTGATGATCCATTCTCCATGCCCTTCTCAAGCAGTGTATATAGAGTAAGTCACACCAGTCCAATAAACACAATATCCATAGTCGGATGACCACAATTAGTAGTCATATAATTGACATAGAATACTTTGAAATACTCTCAGACTCTGGAAGCTACAACAGGAATACTGAACCGTTCTACCAAGGTTGAATACCATCACCATACCTGTAGATGACCTTTCCGACGTCCTGGTCTCGTTGTCCCTGGATAACATCTTTGACAAAGTTACCACCCTCTGAAGGATGGCGCGCTCCCAACTAAAACCCATCGATTAGGATATCTACCGTTCAAGAAGATTCCTTTGCTTACCTTCTTCAACTGTTCTATCCCAACGCCCCCTAGTCCAGTTGTAAGGAATCCTGGAGACACAGCCCAGACTTTTACACCATCGTTGAGCAAGATCCGGTGCCATTCTCTCATCATCATATTGAGTCCCACCTTTGAACTCCGGTATGCATCGATAGGGTTAATTTCTTTCGGCTTTGGCCAACCTGGTGGTGGCGAGCCGTTGATGGTTTGTAATGCCGCGGTATCAAACCTCTCCGTGAAACTGAGCGCAGAAGTCCCGCTTGTGATGAAGATCAATTTTGCATGATTCGACCTGAGCAGCAGTGGAACTGCTCCACTTGTGAGCACTTGAGTGCCGGAGACATTGGTATCCCACGACTTGTTCCATGCCTCCCGAATGCTCATTTTACCATCTCTGAGGTCCCCGTCAAAAGATGCACCACCATTGTTGACCAAGATATCTAGCCGGCCAAACTTTGAGTCGATATGCTCAAGAGCTTTCTTGATTGACTCATCTGAACAAAGGTCCACCTGGACCACGCTGAGACTGCTGGGTGAAGATGGGACTTCTTGTTGCACAGCTGCAACGGCGGCTTCACCATTGCCAACAATCCGGCTTCCTACGATGATGTTATAAGATTCCGTGGTTTTATATAAGGCTTTGACAATCTCGAGGCCAAGACCTGTGTTGGCCCCTGTGATAAGGACGACCCTTTTGTCTTGTGACATTTTTGCTAGCTAGAATTGTTTAAGCTGAAATGAAAAAGGGTAGAGCACAAGGACGTAATGGCCCGCTTACCTAATCAAAACGGTTTCTCTCTTTTTGTATAAATGGTATCAATGGCGCTACTCGTAAGATGAATTGATACTTGTTGTTAGAAAATGAGCAGGGGCGTTTAGGGCTGATCCACTGTTTACGAGGATGGTAGCCTTTAAAAAAAAAAAATTTGAAGCAAGAAAGGCTTTTGAAATATAACAGGAGCTACGGACGATATTTATAACGTCCATGCAAATGGCTTCTAAGAAGTGCTTTAGAGAACATAGAAGTTTAATAAGAACATTAGTGCTGAAAATGTGTCACGCTTGTCTCGCTCGGTTTCCTCTTTTGATTAGTGTAACACCCCAGGGTCGCGAGGTATCCCTGATTGGCCAGGCAGCCCTGCCCTGATCAGACGGGACGGGATAAGGCCCGCCCTGGTTAGATAAAGCCCCATTAGCCCCAGTGTGTTGGAGGGGGACTTGTAGGAGGGAAAAGTCCCCTCCTATAATAATCAGTCAACACATTAGGGCGATTCGCCAGCGTATCGCAGACAACATCAGAAACCCTCTCATCGTGACTGCCATCTACCTAGCCTTCCATTTAGGGAAAAGCCTCACACTAAGTAGCGACTGAGTAAAGCGGCGATAGGTGGGGTGAAGCGACTTGGGTGAGTGAGGGCAACTTTCGGGAAACGCAACACGCCATCCCAAATGTCAGTTCACTTTTCTTTCCTATAACAAACATTTCTTTCGAAACCCATCAACATGAGTGACCAGCATAACTCTAGCAGCATAACTAATTACACATGCGATTTTGCTTTTCCTTCGATCTTCTCGTTTCAAACGTTCCAGACGAGTGCTACTAGTTCATCTTGTCGGGCAAGATGGGGCGCCACTTCGACAGGCTTGAGCACCGGGGCAACACTCTGATTGACCGTTTGTGATGTCATTAGTTCTTCTGCTGCTCTTCCGCATCTGGTCATGAGATACCGAGCAGGTTTGTCCTCCTACGGCTGTTTCATCTTTATTGATGTTGTCAATTGTGCCATGTTATTCCCAAGATTATGTAGACACTTGATTTTCAGAGCAAAGCAAGATATAATATCTTGTTTAAAGCCATATACTAATCACTCTTGCTGGTTTTATGTTTTGGCGTGCTCATTGTCCTGCCCAATCGTCGAGAACCTGGCTACATCATGCAAGACATAATAATGTCTTCACCTCGCCTGTGACGAACCACAGAATGGCCTGTCAGAGAAACAGGACACCCCCATGTTAGTCATATATAGAACAAGTCTATCAATCAAAAGTCGGGATTGTATCATGATCCTGAGATAAGTAAAGGCGCCACAAACGATTCTTTAAGTGACAGGATAAAATAAACCGCTATTCCTTATATGACTATGATAACCGTCGCTCACCTCCTTCCCATTCCCATTCCCATCAACTTCCTATTCTCCTGTCCTTCTGTGTGAACTGTTCCAAATGTGTATCACTTGGCCCACTGACCCTTGTTCTGCTCGATCCACATCCCGAAGTCGCTCATCTGAGGATACATTTTGCGGCAGAGCGCAACATCGCCTCCGTATCCCTCGTGCTCAAACCAGCGGAACATGTCGCCCACGGTGCCCTTGAGAAAGAACTTGACGGCCGACGCAATGGGGCACGGGGCCAGCGGCATGGGCGCACCTACGGCCTTTCGGAAGAGCGCGTCCGCCTGTGGCTGCGTCAGCTCGTCCCCGGCCAGCGTCAGCGCCGCGTTGCGATAAGCCTCGGGGTCCAAGAAGCTGGCCGCCGCGAACCAGCCGATGTCGCGCGTCGACACGAACTGCAGGGCCTTCTTCCCGCCCTCTCCATCGCCCATCTGCTCCCACATGCGCGCGAAGCCCCTGCCGTGCACGTCGGCCGTCAGGTTCTCGAAGAAGGTCACGGGCCGCAGGATCGTCCACGTCATGGGCTGCGGCGCCGCCGCGAGGGCCTGCGCCTCGAGGTGCTTCTCGATGCGGTGCTTGCTGGCGAAGTTCTTGACGCTGGTCGGGTTGAAGGGCGACTTGTCCGGCCCGCCGCGGTCGCCCGACGAGTAGACGAAGTGGCGCACGCCGTGGGCCACCGCCGCGTCCACCATGGCCTTGCCCTGCTGCTCCTCGTCGTCCGAGTTGACCTGCACGCTGTACACGCCCCATACAGGGCCGGCCACCTTGGCGAAGATTGCGTCCGGCTGCGCTAGATCGCCGTCCACGACGGTGACGTGGGGCAGCGAGGCAAGCTGTCGTGCGCGAGCGCTCGAGGCATCGCGCGTCACCCCGATGATGTGGAAGCCGCCGGCATCTGGAGCCGCCAGCAGGTTTTCGATCACCGCACCGCCTTGTTTGCCCGTGGCGCCCGTAACGAGGATGACTGAACGAGAGGCAGACATGATGATGGGCTGGTGTTTTAGGAGGAAAAGATTGGTTACTTAGTATAAGACAGTGTAGTTGTATTGATACTGAGCAGATGAGGCGCAGTTCTTGCTCACGCGAGGCAAACCGAGTTGTGAATGACAATTAAGGATATATTCTTTGACGATGAGCCTTTCACTCGGTCGCTCTCCTCGAACTTATAGATAATCTCACTACTCCTCCTCCTCCTCCTCCTCTAGCAGCGTTTCATCCTCGACCCGCGGATCGGACAGAATGAAGCCATACATCCATTGATATTTTCATCCTGATGTCCTCCTTCTAGCGATTGAAGTGTGGCTTGCCAGGTATGATGAAACGAATGCGAGTTCTAATTCAGGGGCCCCTCCAACGTGCCAGCAGCGCGGGCCAGAAGCGACCCGTCTCGGTGGGAATTTAGGCCGACTTGCCCCCGGTCTAGTCTAGTCTAAGGGACCCCTGGGAATGCCAGAATGGACAGTGATCTGCACGCTAAGCGAAGAGGAGCAGATAGGATCATTAGGCCTCTTTTCTTGTTTGTCCGCTGCCCGTGGGATTGTTCAATTGACGTCTATTTCTGTGGGAGTGATATACGAGCAGAACGTGAAGCCAGACATCGATCGGCTACTATGACCAATAGGGAGGGTATACGGTATTGTGCCTAGGCTTCTCGCACACAAAGGACGGCGGCTGCTCCCCGACTCATACGCCGGAGTATCTTGCTCTGATCTTATACCTTGGCTTCAAAAGTCTCCTGGATAACCTCACTGACACGAACATGCAGAGTGAAATGCTGATGAGGATTAGAATGCCCGAGAAAAAGGGCATACCTATCTTCTCTAATCCTCTCCAGTGTATGAGCCTACGAAAGTCTATGCGAGGAAGTGAATACTTGACTCCATGCAACTTGGAGTGGTACCTGGAAGCCGCCGCTGTTCCTGCTCCATGCGCATCTCTATGAATTCGGCTGTAGGACCATGGGATTATGCAGCTGCCAAAGCTGAAGCCGTGACCGCTAAGCTCTGCTGCTCGAAACTTCAGACAGAGTAGCATTTTCATGGCTGAAACACCCTTCTCTGGAATGCAGCGGCTAATGGAATAGAAAGTAGACTAGCTCACACAAACAAGTCTCAATCCTCTATAAATGTCATAATCGACCCAGAATCTTTCTTTAGACCCTCTCTAGTCTAGATTTCTCCCTTAACCATATATCAATCAGTCTACTTTATTCACCTCTCATTATCTCTTCACCTCGTAAAACACTAGTCCTATCTAAGGACTTTTGCAAACGAGCCTCGAGGGCATCTGTTTCCTTGTACTTACTATAGAAAGTAAGGTATATAAAATAGGCAGATAATCCATTAGCTATAATCTATATTATGTAAAGTGCCCAGGTAGGAAAAAAGGAGATAGTTGAGTTAAAGTTATCTAATCTAGTCCTAACTTGATACTTATTCTGCTATACTAGTCTTGTTACGGCCAAATTGGAGCCCCAAAAGCGAGTAGAATACGCAAAATGCCCTACCCGACTGGAAGGGCAACGAAAATGTATAGAAACACATCCAACACACGTGCAACCCGTACTCTCCATTTCATACATCGTAATCTACTAGTCACGTTCCGATCCCGGGCTGCAGGATTGGGGACGGTTCCACGAATCCCCGAGTGTTTCCCTATCTCACTACGACCCGGTCTTCTCGAACTTGTGATTGGCGGAATGTATGTCTGATTGGTGCTCGATGCACTTGAAGCAGAGGTCAAAGTTGCCACAGATAGGGTCCTGGCTCGTGCAGGCATAGCGGACACCATACAACAACTTTCCGATCGCTGGCGTCAGTGGATCTGTGTAGAAAAGGGGGGCGGGGCTCATGGACTTACGCAGTCACAGCAATCACACAACCCACCACCCATTTCCTATCCAGGCTCGGTCGGTCGCAGATGGCCTCCGCCGGCATCGTCGACCTTGAGTGCGCCGGGCGCCTCGGCCACCCACTCATGGTAGACGGCGACATGGTACGGCAGCCAGCCAGTGGGGCGGATGCTCTGCTCCGTGGTCGTCGCGCCATGTTGAAGTAGGAGCTTGACGAGATCGGATCGCCTGGAACGGCACGCCCAGTGCAGTGGGGTCCAGCCGTCGTGATCCGTCTTGTTAATGAGGTCCTTCGTTAGATCCTGGTTCTTCAGTAGTTCCTGGACAAAGGATAGATTCCCAACGCCACAGGCCGCGTGCAGGGCGTTGCGGCCTTGGTAGTCTTGTGAGGCAAGTGTCGAGAGTTCGTCTGACAGCTGCTCTGCTAGGGTCCAGGAGTCGTCACTTCCGGCTAAGAGTACCAGACTTGTTGAAATTTCAGTTGCACTACCTACGGATCTAAACCGGGCTTAGTCCATCCCCTGAGCTGTTCTGAGTTATCCCGAGTCGTGCCTAGTAGTGAACGAGCAGCGACTGAGTACAGCGTCGTTGGGTTAGGTGAGCGACTGGAACTAGTGAGGGCAACTTTGGGACACGCAACAGCCGTTGATCGCCGAATAGACAATATCAAGTGTAAGAATTCTCTTCCATGAGGAGATCTTTTACTCTATTAACAAACAAGTCCTAAAGAATGTGTCGGGGCTTGACCCGCTCTCCTCCATCATTGGAAGCCTTTCCTAATTCTTCTGCTTACGAGTCACTAGGCAGTGTCCAGCATCTCTCGCTGCTATCAGCATTGTTCCCCCACCAATTTGGCATGGTGACGATCTTGCCGGCTCCGAAGCACAGGAAGATCAGCAACATGTTGAAGTTGAATCCGGCATCAAAAGCCGCTGCCAAGATGTAGTTCCACCGCGCCCACAGTTCGTAACGGTAGCGGTAAGCCCAGTACATGACAACAAAGCCGCCGATAAAGCTTGAGACATATCCCGTACTGATGTTGCCGTAGAAGTTAGACATCATTGAAAAGAAGATTGTCGTATTCCACAAGTGGAACTTGGCGCGTGGGAAGGCCCGGTGCAATGCATAAATGACAAGTGGTGCGCCGGCACCGAGAAGAAATCCGTAGGGCAATGGCCTGTAGATCTCAGTCTGGAAGAGTCTCTTAGGTCCCTACTATATCGTTAGCTGAAATGATACAAGATGCCGAGCTGCGAAAAATCTGACAATCAGTACGTATTGTACGCCGAGGGTAAGAGATGATGCAAGGGCTTGTCCGGTCCATTGATGTGTCGGGTCGTCTACTGCTCCGCTTAGATAATCGGACTTCGTGTCCAAAACCCATCTGATGACAGCATAATTGATAGGAACGCCAATGAATGACCCGAACACCTGTGAGAAGAAAACATCGCGCGGTGGGATGTGCACTACAGCGAGTCGAGTCAGCAACTACATTTCTAGCAAAGCGAAAAAGGAGAAGGCGCCAAGCAAGTCCGAGCTAGAGTTCTTGCCTTGGTACTTCACGAAGCTCTAAAACGATACGGGTACTCACTGTAATGTCCAATTTTCATGTCCTGTAGCTGTAACTGAGCTCGATACCACGCGTCTCCAGCGATAGAGCCGTAAGTGGATGCTCCACAGGGGTTCTTGAAGCCGGAAACAGCGTTCACCATCAGACCATATAACAGCTCGTTGGTAGTGCCGATTGGCTGATCACACCATTAGAATCCTTTAATCTTGGGAAGCTTCAATTCAACTCACCAATTGGAAGTTCGATAGCGCATACAGCCACCCAAGAGGAACAACCAGAAGCGCACCTGTTGCAATAGCCACGAAGTACGTCCAGATAGGGATGAAAAGAACGCCCTTGGCGACAATAGTAACCAATACGATGAAATGAACGGTGAACAAGGTTATGTACCACCAAAGCGGCACATCTTTATACGCCCTTTGGAGAACGTTGAGCTGGTCGTTGTATTGATCGGCGATATTTTCCGAGCCCTTGCTTCGACGACGTCGTAGAAACTTTTGAATGCCGTCTTTGATCTTATCGAACCCGAAAAGGGCCATCCACGCAATACCCGAAGTGTATGATGCGTAATCGAAGAACGTGTTCCAAAGAAACTGAGCGCCGACGTAGATTGGTCCATTCTCCGCATATGCAGTCTCGTTGAAGGTGATTTGGGGTGTCATCAGGGACGTGACAGGATATGAGGTTCCATTTTCTGTGCTGCGTGAGCTCTTCAATCTTCACCATCTGGTATCAAGTAGACTTACCCAGGTAAAGTCGGTTTCCCATAACATGATGATGCCATTTTCCTAGATGGCCGAATTTTGCAGCTGGAATGAGAATCCAGGCGCTGCAAACAAAGGCCACGAATAGAATCACTTGAGTCCACCACGGGGTGAGGAACAAGTTTGTCATGGCGGAGATGGATGACCAGTCGAGTGAAAGGTTCAGCATGCCCATCCCCCCAAAACCAGCGCCAACAAAATTTGCAGTGGGGTTGCGCGGTGCCACCCAGCAAAGGAATGCCAGTGAGCCCAACATTGGCCAGACGTATTCTGGCAAGAACTGCCACAGCGTAACGCCAAGAAGCACAAGGAAGAAGACCTTAAGCTGCTTATGGGACAGCCTTGTCGGGTTCTCTCGTTGCTTCTTCTGGGTCTCGAACAGGGCGGTTTGACAGATCCTGTTGGCATCAGCAAGTGCTAATCAAAAGCATTGAGAATGTTCGGGGACATACGATTGAAACCAAGGGTAGTATGGATCATGGATGAGAAATTGCCTTGCAAGGGCGGCATATGAATATCCTACCCAGACTATGGCCCACATGAAGAAGATAGCCACTGCAGGGTGTACCTTCTGGCCAAAATATAGTTCTGACATGGAAATAGGGGTGTAACCTAAATTATATGTGGCTCCAGAGGCGGCCGCTATTGTCACCAGCACATGCTCCTTGACACTAAAGGGCCCCGGGTTGAGACTGAAGCCCCATTTCGTGAATGGAATCTTGATATTCCACGCGGGTAGGATCTTTGACAGCCATATTCCGACGTAGTTGGAGGCGATTTGGACAAAGAAGACCGAATAGGGCGCATATGTTGTTCTGTAGTGGGCCATCATGGACAGGAAGGCTCCAGGAGTGACAAACAAGAACACCAGGAGGAAATATCTGAAGGTGATGGTAGGTAGGGTCGTGTCATCTGTGAAGCTTACAATGCGTCGAACGTATGGCGGGATGTCTTTGACACGGGCATCGTCTTCTGTGACAATCTCCTCCTTTCCGTCTTGCCCCAGAGTGTAGATCACAGGGTTGTTCTCAGCTGGGGCGTCGTGAGGATCGGAACCCTTAGACGATTCATCGACAGACCTTTCAAGGGATCCAATGGGCGTAACTTTCTCATTTTCGGCACCGTTGGTGAAGACAGGTGCCTGAACAAGACCTATGTCTCCATGGTCTTTCTCTGAAGGTTGTGTAGCCATGCTGGCAGTAGGGAATGGGCAAAGAGAGATTCTTTGCGGAGAAACAATGTTGAATAGCCAAGAAATGCGGAGTCCGGTTAGGTCGTGCCGGCCTTTAAAGCCGTGTGCGCCGCCATTGATATGATCGACAGGCAAGGCAGCATCGCTTTGATTATATTAACCGGCCATGGAAGTGATTGGTCGTGACTGTAATACAGCACGTCTTGCTCCTTTGCAATGATGCCATCGCGCACTTTCTTCATGACCTTCTACTCTTGGCTATGATAGACCTATAGCTGACTTCTAGGCTCGATGGAAATGTCAGACGGCGCACCACTTTGGCCGACCCGGTCCAGGTCGGCGGGTCTGTAACCCTGCCGAAAATGCTTGTTTGGACAAGCATCAGGAGGTTAGGGGGCTCTCTCGGCCGCCTGTATCCGAGAGCCCTTGACTTGAGCCACATTCTCACCTTACCACAAGGATTCTATGACATATATTAATGGCGTTCATACCACTTTCCAGACTTCTGGACGCTCCAGGATGATGTCGCAATTCCTAGGATAAACTGCACCATCGCGATAGAAGCTCGTATCAGCTAGTCTGCGAACAATCTGCCAAATGCAGCAAGCCGACTGGTTAGGGTCATGCAAAATCTGGAGATCCCACAACGAAGGCAGCTGTGGGAGCCGCAGATTCTGCAGTAGAACTCGGCGAATTTGCTTCTAGCGTGTAGACTAGGCCTGCTGATGCACGCCCTGCAGCACACAAGCTTTGGACGAGTCCGGGTGTGGCGCCGTTCTCTCGGCCGATCCAACGCGGATGCGAACAACTAAAGCCAGGGCAAATCTCTCGGCAGGCGCTGTTTGGAAGCAACGGTGTACTGAGCATAATTGGGTTTAAACGGCGATGACCGCACGTCTTTCAAGAGAAATCTTCGTACTGTTCCGACTTATTTAAGCCTGAGAACAGGAAAGCATTCGCGGCCGGAAGCAAGTAGACCACACCCGCGCAGCGAATTCGCCCATCTGTTCCAATTACCTAATGGATGTTAGGGCTCCCAGCAGGCTTAGACATGCCCGGAAGACAAACCAATTCAAGAACATGCGCTTAAGTGCCTGGGCTCCAGTGAGAAGAGAATGCGGTTATCCTGCCATCTCAACCTTTGTCCCCAATGAAGTGATTCGGGATAAGTGATTTTCTGCTGAAATGTCAAGCAACAGCAGTACCAGAGACGCGCTAACATTGACGATAGCATGCGATAGCATAGAACTGTTACTTACTCGCGATGGGGAGGATCGACCAGGACACTCGCTTTATGTTTCTCTTCATTTTAAGAAACAATTACTCACATTCTCACATTCTCTGCGGTTTGGAAATACTATTTTCTCAAGATCATGGATTGCTGCTCTCCGTCCTCTCCTCAGTGTGGTCCATCAGCCCCCGCATTGGTCTAGGCGACTCTGGAAGCCGCTGCAGGGCTTCGCTTACCAGCAGATCGAATTAGTTGAGCTAGGTCCAGTACCCAGGTAGAGCAACCGGCCAATTGCAGACGACTTGTTTGAGCTCAATCTGACCTCAGTGATTGGATGAGTCGAATTCTCTTTGAATATAATCTACGTCTAGTGTTTTCTTTATTTGGAGTCCGAGGCGGTGACCGACTCTCCCGAATTGCCAAGAGAGCTTATCTCGGTGACCGAGGGGGCTCTCACCGAGAGAGACCATTTTCACCACGTAAGAAGCGCTGAGACACACAAAAGTCTGCTTTGTGTTGCCCCACCACCAGCGCATCACAACACCAATCAGCCTCACGATTTTACTCATCCGTCAAGGCTTCAAAAGTCGACTCATCCGCCTGGCCGGTATCAAAGCAAGCATCAGTAAACATCTCGTCCCAATCTCAAACCTTCGTCAACCGCACATAATTTTTCCCCAGCGGCATCAATTGAAGTCATCGCCGTCATGTCCGCGCCCTCCGAAACTGCTCCACTTCTCCGGGGCTCCTTTGAGCCCTCCGGCGAGCGGGCCCCGCGCTCGCCGCCAATCATCTCACCGGGCATGGTGAATCGCCAGCGTGTTGCATCGGCCTCCATCACGCCGCACATGGAATCTCATACCGACTACAGCGCCATTCTGCGCGACGTCATCATCGGCTTTGCAGACGGCCTCACTGTGCCTTTCGCGCTGACTGCCGGCCTGTCCAGCCTCGGCAGCACCAAGCTCGTCGTCATTGGCGGCCTAGCAGAGCTCTTCTCCGGCATGATCAGCATGGGTCTGGGTGCTTATCTCGCCGCTGTCACGGAGCGAGAGCATTGGGAGGCGGAGAATGCGCGCGAGTGCTGGGAGGTTGACAACGTGCCGGACATGGAGCGCGCTGAGATCTACGAGATTCTCTCCGGATACGGCATCTCCAGAGCCGCCGCGCAGCCCATCACAGATGAGCTATGTGCGGACAAGAAGAACTGGGTGCGCTTCATGATGGATTTTGAGCTCAAGCTCGAGGAGCCCGATGTCAGCCGGGCTTGGATCTCGGCGCTCACAATGGGTCTGAGCTACTTCATCGGCGGCCTGGTCCCCATGATTCCGTACTTTGTGCTGCACAGCGCGAGACATGCACTCTACGTTTCTATTGGTGTAACCGTGGTCATTCTTCTTGTTTTTGGTTATGTCAAAAACTACATCACCATCCGGAATAAGAGAGCCGGCGTTCTGGGAGCATTGCAGACATTGATTATCGGGGCGTTAGCGGCAGGCACGAGTTATGCGATTGTACGACTATTAGACACGGGAGATGCGCCGGCATAGTGCAACAGGCCACATACATTGGATTGGGCCAGGGGCCAGTATATGTATCAGTCACGGAAGCTTTTATACCATGTATTATTACTACTCAATGTCTCTCTTACTCGTCATTTGAGAATGGCTTTGGAGTTCAGCCAAGTATGATCTCAACATCTCACTAGGCTCACACTGTGAGCCCCCTATGTATTTGAGCTTTCGTTTATTGTGATAGCTATTTTCTGAGGACCGCCTTTACCACACGAGAAAAAGTCGAGCTCGGCTTTGATCCGTCATCAATCAGCCGATCCGTTTGTAAATCCATCTCATCTAAGCTCACTCTTTGTGTTTTCTTGACAAATTTGCAGCTGATAACGTTGAAGAGATAGATTAAAATGCCAAGGTATGATGTGACGAAGGTAGAGGTCTTGAACTTTGGGATAAAGGCGTTGTAACCTGTGTCTGAGTGAGTAGTGCGCTCATGAAATGACTCTAAGGTCTCGGGTTTTGGTACCATTGAAGAATATCACTAAGCATGTAACAGTGAGGGCCAAATAAGCACCGTATGGTTGGAGTGGGCCCCTATACGGCATTGTGCTTCGAGAGATTCCCTGACGACTCATCCCTCTCGTAAATTGGATATAGCTGATGAGAACGCTGATCCAATTCAAGGTCCCGAAGACGGTGACAAGACTGACAAAGTAGCCAAAGACAGTTGAGGCTGATTTAGTCACATTCATGTACCCAAGGGCTGTGAACAGAGTCATCACAGCAATACCAATCATCGGAACGCCTTTCGCAGTCGTCTTGCCAAAGGCACGCGGTGCAAGCCCGTCGTGCGCCAGACCGTAAAGCGTTCGAGATCCGATGTATATATCCGAGTTGGCTGCGCTGATGACAAACACTAGCAAGCAGGCATTGACCACGCTGGGGAACACGGGAATGCCAGCAAGCTGGACGGCAATGACGAAGGGACTGGCAGCAGCGCTGGTGCTCTTCTTCGTCGCGCCGATCAAGCGCTCATTGTCGTGGGGTACTGCCATTCCCAGCACAAGAACACCGACGACATAGAAGAACACTATGCGCCACAATGTTTGCCGGATTGCCGTTCGTACAGTCTTCTTAGGGTTTGGTGCCTCGCCGAAAGCGACGCCCACCACTTCAGTGCCGGTGTATGCGAAGCAGGCCTGAACCATGCAGGCCCAGAACCCAAGAAATCTTCCAGTGGAACCGTCTTCGAGATATGTTGCAAACGCTCCTGGATGTCTCCAGTATGAGAAGCCAATCCTCTGGCCCGATGGTTGACCGCCGAGGGATATCACAAAGCAAGAGAGGATCAACATGATGATGACTAGAAGCTTCACCACTGACATCCAAAATTCGGCTTCTCCAAAAAAGGAGACGTGAAGAATCTGGTCATTGTTAGTCGCAGATTAGGACCAGACAAAGGAGGGTGATTGGCTATACATTAACAAAAACGATAGCCACCGTGAAGGTTGCAACGAAGATAGCCACATTGAGATCCGGCCTCCAGTACTGGATGATAATACCAGCCGCCGTTAGGTTGTTTGGAAGAACGATTGCGTATTTTAAGAAGTAGTTCCATCCAGTAGCATAACTGGCAGACTCAAAATTAGTTCGGAGATTCGCCAGACATATTGATTAGGTCCGAAATACTTACCCGAGAGCCGGATCGACAAATCGTGTTGCATAACCAGCAAAGCCTTTGTCCATGGGCAACATTGTCGCCATCTCTCCAACCGCCGTCATAATGAAGTATACCACAGCACCGATGATGCTGTATGCTATGAGTAGACTAGCGGGACCACCTCGCACAAGTCCTGTGCCTGATCCTATGATCAAGCCTGTGCCGATGGCACCGGCAACAGCGATCATAGACACATGACGAGGCTTGAACTCGCGGTGGAGGTGGTTGGTGGGATCGGATTGGCCCATGGTGATGCTTGTGGTGACGCGGATGCTTGGAGACTCTTCGTCTAGGCATGAGTGCTGCGGGCTTTTATCCATTTTCAAAGCTGTAGTTATCAACACACGAAGTGTAAGATGGAAGTCAACTTGGTGATGAGATCAAGTTCGAGATTGTACGAGATGGTCATGTTTGAATGTTCAAATTCAGAGAGAATCCACGACTTATATGCAAATCAGATCAGGAGACGATCCTTGTAGAACTAGAGTCCCTGAATCCGAGACTGTCCTCCAGTCTGGAAAGCAACTAGTTGCTAGCTAGAGGCCTTTGGCGTGCTAGGATGCTGATTAGAAGTAGCTGAGAACACATGTTAAGCAAGGAGAATATAAAAAATGACCAAATTACCCCAGACATCCATAAGCCATTATGTGTTATCACTAACGCCGTACCATGGATCATCATCAATTGGTTATGTGGGGCAATTCGTTGTGGAGCCGTGGAGGTGCAACTCCGCGAACTAACACCCTCTCCCTGTCCCATCAACTCGGTGATCCAGCTATCGGTCCCGAAAATTAGATGGAGGTTGAAGTCCACGAAATGATCCTCAACGACCGTAATGGGATCGATTTGCCATCAGTACTGACTAAGATTGACTCCTGAGGGCGTCATCGGCAATGACTACGGTATTGTTTCCCAACGAAAGTGAGTATATTACGGGTAGAGCCCCCCAATATGACAAGCTCCTCATTAATTCCTTCTCTAAGCCTATGTTTACAGAGCAAACATTTCCTCTCATCATGGCTCCCAGTGCGATATCTGAAGATGTTTTTCCAACTGCGGGGACATCAGCGGTAAAGCTGTCGGGCGATTCCAAGCTTTCACAGAAATTCGCACCGTTTAGGTCTCTCGTTCCTTTGGCCTCAAAACCAGACGTCACCTACCTGAATTCCTCTTTTGCGCCACCGTCAAATTACATAGTTCACGACGCTGTGACAACCTATTCGCTAGAGGCTCTGCATATTCCTGCACCCAAATCGGATTGGCAAGCTGCTGCCGTGCAGACGCGCAAGCTGATCGCGCGATACATCAATGCAGAGTCATCATCGATCGCTTTCACGCGGGATACCACTGAGGCGCTCGGGAATTTCATCCGTAGTGTGCCTTTCCAGCCCGGTGATAACGTCGTTATTCTCGACACGGAGCACCCGAATCACGCGTATGGATGGATGGCTTTGCGCTCTGCAGGTCTAGAAGTCCGCCAGGTACCTACTATAACGGAAGCTGAGAAGACTGGCGAGGTGGTGGCTGCTACATCTCAGACGTTCGCTCCATATGTTGACAGTCGGACACGGGCTATTGGCCTCAGTTCCATCATGTTTCATAGCGGACAGCGTAATGATGTCGCTGAAATCTGCGCAGAGTTCAGGCCCCGTGGAATCCACGTCCTTGTGGATATGACCCAACAAGTCGGCTTTGCGACGGTGGATGTCAAGGCGCTGGGGGTCTCCGCGGCCGCTTTTAGCTTGCATAAGGGCCTCAATTGTCCGACAGGATTTGCTTGCCTCTATGTAGAGCCTGCAACATTAACGTTGCTGGATCCGGTGCCGCCCATCGTCGGATATGGGGCAGTGAGCAATGTGCGGGCTGACCTGTTAGCCCCCAGCGAGCCCATTGTATTTCATCCATCGACCCAACGATTTGAGCACCTCAACATTTCTCTTGTTGGCGCCGCAGCCGCCAGAGCTTTCCTGAAGTTCTATCTGGACACCTTGGTTCCCGCCGATGTGGAGAGTTACCTTTATAGTCTTGGTGACGCTCTTCGACAAGCATGTGAAGAGTTAAGTATTGATATTGTTGGTCCGAAGGACCGCAGATTCCATGCGCCACATCTATATGTGCTCAGGCTGCTTCATCCAGCATGGCATGCACATCTGAAGAGTCGAGGAATCTATGTGACACCTTATCGACTAGGCATCAGAGTTTCACTAGGATTCTACAATAATTTGGACGATATTGGGAAGCTGGCAGACGCCTTACGGGCTGGACTGGAAGAAAATTTGCCTCGCCCCTAACGGTCATGTATATAAAGCTGGAAAGCCTAAACCACAATTTGGTCATTAAATAGACTTCCGGCTTCTCAATATGCGAGGAATTCGAGGATACAACGTATGAGAATGAGATAATTCGACCTTACTAGCTTGCTGCCGTTACTTGACTTTACAACGTTTCTTGCATCATTGTGTATCTAAATAGCCGCTGTTTACTATGTTTTGCCAAGTCCCATGTGACAGAGCACTCCTCAAGGGCCTGTAAAAGGTAGTCAGCTTCCGCGCCTGAGCTTTGCGCCGAGGAAAAACGGGCAGCTTGGACTACACCGTAGACAAATATAAGCGGTGCATGTTTCAAGCCGTGCTGACTTCTGTACTTTCGTACAAGAGCAATGATGTCTTGCGTTGCTACATCACAAGTGTTCTTTGCGACCACTGTCCCTTCCGAGCCGCCTGGCAGCGTTGCAGTGTCAAAGTTGATAGCAATCCGAATACTGTTGAATAAAACGCTTTACAAGGGCGTTAGTTACTATAATACATGGTGCAGGAGAGAATTGGTAAGATCCACTAATGGGTTACCCACTGTAACGCAGCCACAACTGGCATGAGCAATTTCGTGGTAGATTCCCACTTGTTCCAGCGAAGGAAGTCTGGTAAGGACTCCTGCCATCGGCATAAATCGAGATTCACAGAACCCAAGATAGCCACATTGGAATTTGAAGTGTCTTTAGAGTTGTTCTTCAAGATAGAATGGGTCAGGAAGCGTCGCAGAATTGTGGTCAGTTGTATAGTCTTCTGAAAGCAAGGAACCAATGGGTGAGCAAATGGTAAAAGTACCGCGTCGTCTCGATCGTCGAATCCTGCTGGAAGCCAAGGCGCCATATCTGGAAAGTCCCTAGACACTGTTAATAATTAATTAAGTATGTGATTTCGAGTGAACTCATACGGCAATCTTTCTGCTAGCCCAACAACAGCTTCACTTTCGTGCAGGAAGACGGGGCGACCTAGGATCAGGCTAATGACTTTATCCGACAAATAGCAACCCCAGTAAATCCGTCGTCGAATCTCGATATCCTCTGGGGAGTTGATACTGACGTCTTGCATGACCCAATGCTTTGGATCGCGTTGAAACCCAAGGTCTTGAGCCATGCGGAATGCGATCCCTATCAATCAGTAAGCTATGATGAGGAAGCATGATTGTATATATAAGAAGGCATACCTGAAAAGGACCATCCTTTTGAAAGATTCCCTCTGCCAATCTCGTAAAAGGCTAGACAAAGAAAGGCCTGCACGGTGGTTATACATGGTTGTGACAAGCCTGAGACAACAAGAATGCTCTCAGCGGCTTCGAAGAATCTCTCGCTAGTGCTATGACTGACATCGTTTTCCGCCATCAAGGCTCCGAGTGCACATACTGCAAACAATAGAGGGCAGCTCCAATATTTGCTATTGCCCGTGTTGCAGAAGTGATCACGTAGAAACGCCTCGCGATATATGAACATGAAGTGGGGATATTGCCACTTGAAAAAGCGTAGTAAAGCATCGGTAACAGCCGGCCCATCCATATCAATGCCAAAATGCTGAGCAACGTGAACATGGCTTCGTCTATCTATCGAGGACTTTTCACCTGGTCCAATTGAAACACCATGCTCTTCGACCTCCCGGATTTGATTCGAAACCAACTCATTGGGGTATATGCTTGTAGGTCCGTGGTACAACAGAGTGTCCGCTTCAAGTTGCAAGCCAAACAGCGTACGATGGGTATTTGATGGAAGTAAGTTTGATTCGTCTTGGATTCCTTGTAGTTTCTCGTTGAGATGATCATCGAAATTCACACCAGCCAGTAGGGTATCCCTCTCTTTCGATGGAGCGCTCTTCAAACGTTCAAGAAATGCCTCGAGATATGCGATCCTATTCTCTAGCACCTCAACATACTCATGCGTCACTGGCCTCCTCTTGTTGTCTGCCTTACGATATTGACATATCTGGTTTACCTTGATGCAATTTGCACAAGGGTCGGTCCTAGAACATTTGAGCTGCGGTAACATTCAATTAGTAGCCACGTTAAGACTGCAAACGAAGACAAGGTATAATGCACAACTTGATCAAAAAAGTCCACCATACCTTTCGAGTTTGGCATCTTCTACAACTAACATATGTTGAGGTTAGCTAATTCACCATGAACCGTTGTAAGGGAAGGAAAGGGGGGCATACGAAAGCCGCTTGGTTGACGGCTGAGGCATAGCGACATCGGAGGGCAGCGGGCGCTCCGATGACAGAAAACGTCAGAGTCAATATCCTGCAAAGACCAGTACGGATATGGGCAGGTCTGTAAGCCTTTGGTTCTTTGTCTAGCCGATTCAGCCAGCTCAACAATTGACAAGAATGAAGGTTGCTGATGCAATGTCAGCCCGAGATGTGCAAATTCCCCCCGCGGTTATCGCTCCGCTTTGCCTGCAGACAAGCCACTGACGCTTGTACGTAGTTTTAGCGTCTGCACACTAGAACTATGTTTTAGCATGGCACAGAACACCCATACTAGGATGGTCCACTTCCACTCGAGGTATCCACCCAGACTGTGGCGGACTTGAACCTCCGCTCCGCCATTCGAGTCGTATCATTGCCATGAATTATGAATAGACACACTTTGATACATGGTTACTGATGCAAGGATCACTGTGCCTCTGAGACTTGCAAGTTGGTGAAGCTGAGTGAGAAAGACTGAAGCTCATCAGCGTCTAGACTGATGAAGCAAATTTGTCGCCTATGTCGGAACCACACCCCTCAAAATTGACAAGTTTCTTTATTTACCTTCGATGCGCAATATTCCTCGTAGAAGACGTAAATTTCCTTGGCATGCATACTCTAGTACGAGACCTAATCTGAAGTGTTGTATTTCATCTGTCTCCGTAGTCATAGACACCGAAGAAAATTGTTCTGCCCATCTGAGTTTGCACCCCAGTATCTGCGCAGCACCAACGTAATTTCTAGCCGTGTAAACGACTAGTAGCGCATGGTTATAAGCAGGTGCTTAATGGCTTGCACCTACGCTATACAGAATAAGTGCGGGAGGTTTGTCTGGCAGCTCTTGCTGTGGATTTGTATTGTCAGCATCCTGATTCGGTCCCCACAAAGACGGCGACGGCACATCACGTCAACCACACCAAATGTAGTGCAAGCTGTCAACTATTAGGCCCGGCGCCTATAAGAACGAATGGAGACACCCTGTATACACCCATACCTGGTTGGCAGCAAAAGAACGCCTGCTAGCCTCGGTTCTCGTGGGGGTTGCTTTAGCACCTCATCAATGTCTTCTTCTACTGCTTCATATGACGATCGTCAAAGAGACTTGTCCCAAACATCGCAATCTCATGCATCCCGAATCTGGTATGACTCCTTATAAGAAGCTTGATGGCCATCATTTAAATATATGCTCACCTGACTCGGTAGATTGAAGCTTCAGAGAAAGGCCATATAGCCCTTTGTTCATGTTCATGGAGATACAAGTTGACCGATTTTCACCCTTGACGACAGCCGGGGTGCGGGGACATATGCTTGGCAGAGAAGCAATTGTCCTGCGTTATCTCGTCACGTCAAAACTCCTTGTCGTAACATCATCATAGCAGCTGAGTTTGGTATAGGAACGCACTGATTGACAATATGATTGGCAATGCGTTGTGCCTTTCAGCGCGTCAGCTCCATACAATACACATGTCGCATTTGTCCCAATAATTGCATCATTTGGATATCTTATTTGGGAAGCTCATTATGGCACCGAAGACTTCTATACATGGAGGGTAATAAAAAGAAGCGCAGTTGTTATAGCCGCCTTTCGAGAGGTTTTCTGTTGTATAAATAACATGGCGCTGTCTTTACAAAGAAGTTCTTATTTAAGCTTGTGCCTTGACCCCGACTAGAATACCACCGTACGACAAGCCTGCTGAACTTATTACCATGTCATCAGTTCCACCAATTCAAGCAGACCTGGATGCTATTCCCGTCGCAAGCCTTGATGACAAATATGACAAGACCGCTAGGGGCATTGGCGATTCAAAAGCCAAGCATTCTGCTAGTGCATCAAGCAATCATTCCGAACCAGAGGATGGGCACTATTTCGGCAAGAATCCCTTTTCAGACCCAGCAACGGCAGCCCATTGGAGAGATGTCTATGAAAAGTCTCGGTACGAATGTCGTCATGTATTTGACCCTGAAATGACCTGGACGGAGGAAGAAGAGAAACGGCTCGTGCGTAAGATAGACTGGCGCGTTTGCCTCTGGGCAGTAAGTACCATCTTAACCTTGTCGTACTACTTCTAGAATGATTCTAACCTAGACATTGTCATAGTGCACTATGTTTTTTGCACTTCAAGTTGATCGAGGCAACCTGAGCCAAGCCGTATCCGATAACATGTTGGATGATCTCAACATGAACACGAATGACTATAACTACGGAAACACGGTTTTCTTGGTCTCGTTCCTGGTGGCTGAACTGCCCTCACAGCTAGTATCGAAGGCCATTGGACCTGATAGATGGATCCCGGCTCAAATATGCCTATGGTCTATTGTGGCTACCATGCAGTGTTTGCTAAATGGAAGAGCTAGCTTTCTAGTCACTCGTTGTCTCCTCGGGGTCCTGGAAGGCGGGTTCATCCCCGACCTCGTCCTTTGGTTGAGCTATTTTTACACTTCACGAGAACTTCCTATACGTCTGAGTTACTTTTGGACTACACTATCGATCACCGGCATTGCCACCTCCCTTTTAGCCTTCGCACTGCTGCACATGCGTGGCATTCACGGCTGGGGTGGCTGGCGTTGGTTGTTCCTGATCGAGGGTATAATCACCCTTACTATTGGCATAGCATCATTCTTTCTAATGCCTGCATCTGCTGTACAAACAAAGACAAGGTTCCGACCAAATGGGTGGTTCAACGACCGAGAAGTACGTATTGTTGTGAATCGCGTTCTTCGCGACGATCCTTCGAAAGGCGATATGCATAACCGTCAACCCATTACCCCTAGAAGACTATGGGAATCGCTTAAAGACTATGATCTCTGGCCGCTCTATGCATTAGGCTTGATTGCATATATGCCACAAGGACCACCAGGCAAATACTTAACTCTGACCTTGAGGTCTATTGGCTTCAGCACATTCAACACTAATCTCTTGACTATCCCGGCCAGCGTTGTTCATATTTTCAACTTGATATTGATTACGCGCCTATCGGAATGGCTAAATGAACGAACCTTGGTCGCTATGTTGCAATGTGTGTGGACGTTGCCATGCATTCTTGCTCTGCGATGGTGGCCAGGTCTGGTAGATGACAAATGGGGCACATATGGCCTGATAATCACCCTCCTGTCCTATCCCTATTGTCATGCAATCCTAGTGGCTTGGTGCTCCAGGAACTCGAATAACGTTGGCACACGATCCGTCTCGGCGGCCTTATACAATATGTCAGTCCAGCTCGGTAACGTCGCTGACTCGTTCATCTACCGAGAAGATGACAAACCTTATTATCATCGCGGAAATACTCAGCTTGTAGCGATCAACTTTGCTGCCATCGCTGTCTTTCTTCTTACCAAAGTTTGTAAGTCTATCTACGATGACAGATCGTCGCTCGTCTTCTCAGAGCAATGAGCTAACACTCACGAGACTACATATACCGCAATAAACAAAAAGACCGCATATGGAACGCATTGACACAACAAGAACGTGATGACTACGTCAAAAATACAACTCTTGTTGGAAGTCGACGGCTAGACTTCAGATTCGCTCACTAACAGTATCCATTGGTGCAAAGAGACATGCAGCGGTGATGGCGGGCTCTAGTGCTTCATACAGGCAGTCAAATTGTATCTCATCATTTGTGCTGCCTGATCAGCACGTGCAATCTTCCCCGCCTCGATTGCATCTGCAAATAGTAAGCCACAGTATGAAGGCAGAGAGGAAATTCGAGTAACGCCGTACAAAATAGAGATTCAATCGGGACAGACGGACATGTGTTCTTCGAGTACTAAGTGAGAGCATTTGTAAGGACCATGCATGCCATTGTATCCATGATATAAGTCCGGTCGATAATTGTGCCGTGACATCCTATCAGCCTATGACACTGGGTAGGACTTTTTTGCCTCTCTCTAACGGCAGAGTAAGACCCTCTATTCATTCAACATGCTCTGTCCCAAAGAAGCCGCGGAGTCTCAGTGAAAAGACAGGACATGGGAGCCACTTGGATCTCATGCTACCGAAATATTGCATTTCTGCCGGAAGGGTCACCGTATATAGCTTGCGCAATATATCCCCCGCTTTCCACTAAAGTTCTTATTCGTCAGCTCTACACGTGCTTCGATCTCCGAATCGTAGATTAGCCAGAGGAGTTATATTAGGAAATTTGATGCCGGACAAATGGCAATAGTTGCTGGAAATAATTCTACGAGGCGAGCATGGGGAAAATATGCCGCGTACCGGGTGGTGAGGATTATTTATCCAGCAGTATGCCCATCGAGATTTGTGGACGAAGAAACTGGTATTCATGAGCTCTTGGTAATTTCCCGTCATTAACGATTACAACAGGTCGCCCAACGCTATGCAACTTCTAAGCCTTGCAGCTCTGACAGCCCTAGTGGCGCTTGGCAGCGCCCAGGGTCTTACAAAGGTCAACGACTTCAACGCTGGGCCTACAAAGGTCGGCATGTACGCCTATGTGCCAAAGAAGCTTACTACTCCAGCTCCCATCATAGTGGCAGTTCACCATTGCCAGGGCTCGGCACAAGGATATTCAAGTGAGTCTGGTTACATGCCATTGGCAGACCAGCATGGCTTTATCCTGATCTACCCCAACTCCAAGTCTGGAGGGGGCTGTTTCGACGTTGCTTCTACATCCAGTATGTCGCCCATGGCCAAGCCCTTCTACTTTGGCTTCCACGCTCGCCAATGGTTAGCGCCGTAATTGCAAGCACATGACTAAATAGAGTTATCTATGCAGGCTTAACACACAATGGCGGCGGCGATAGTCAGACTATCATCAACATGGTCAAGTACGCAGTAGAGCATTACGGCGGCGATGCTAACCGAACTTTCGTGACTGGCACCAGCTCTGGTGCTATGATGACCAACGTACTTGTTGGTGCCTATCCGGATGTCTTCAAGGCAGGCTCAGTCTACTCTGGTGTTCCAGACGGATGCTTCTACGTTCAGGGTTCGACTGCAACTCAGGATCCGCCTGGTTGGGCCAATTCATGTGCCAATGGTCAACTCACAAAAACAGCGCAACAGTGGGGTGATCTAGTACGCTCCTACTACCCAGGATACACAGGGCCAAGGCCACGAATGCAAATGTAAGTCAGCTTCAGCGCAAAGCTCAGGAAGTGGCAATGCTAACATTGTGGGCGACTGAGCTTTCATGGAACCGCTGACAACACCCTTGCCTATCCAAACTGTAAGAATTCAAGATGACTCCATTCCTGAGTTTATAATAACAATTATTCATTATTCAGACCAAGAACAACTCAAGGAATGGTCTAACGTCCTAAACGTCTCCCTGACAAAGACAGCTCAAAACACTCCCCAGAGCGGCTACACTCAGAGTCTCTATGGAGATGGCACAGCAGCAACAGCACAACTCGTTGGCTACAGCGCTCAGGGTGTTGGCCACACTGTACCGATACACCAGTCGATGGATCTTGCATTCTTCGGGATTGCATAAGAGCGGGCTTTAAGGCACGATGCGTAAAACAAGAACGAAGACTGATGGATTGTGTTTCATGAGCATTGCAAGAATACGCATTACGTATCAGTTGTATGTTGCAAGTGTTGTCATTTGCAATTGCGTAGAAGCTCGGCATGATCAAATGTGCAAAATCTGACCAGCCCTTTACCGATGGGTTCGCTGTACCCGCAAAGCTCATTCGTACCTTCAGACTGGCTTTATCTTCTCTTCTTCTTCAATGTCCAAAATATGTATTTTCAAGCATATTGTAAATTGCACATATTGCATGACTGAAACGTGATTTCATTTGGGGAATATGGAAAAATCGTAAAGTCAAATTTCTTTCGACAGAGGAAACACCCTTCCCATTACTAAGGCCTCTCGAAAAGCAATCGTCCCCATGAAGCTCGCATTTACGATCGTTATTGTCATGATCCACCATTAGAATTGCCACAGCGTGTCAATTTAAGACGTGAGAATACCTCCGGAACAGATAACATGATTTAGCGATATGGCGCCAGTCACAACGTGCTAAAACCTTGTATCTTGCACCAGTTCTCGCTGGACTTCCATCACTACGTAGGTATGCAGCGCATTATCACTACAAATCACCGGACTCTTCTTCCTTTGAATCTTTCTCTTCATTAAGTGGGCATATAAGGTCAGCTACTCAAAGACACTGCGAATACCAGTCGTTTGAATATTTGCAAGTTCCTTGAGAACAGCAGGTTGGCCCGCTCCAACCTTGACCACCACATTGTGCATATAACGTCGCACAGGTCCCGCCACCGGACGTTGTCGTTGGCTGTACTGTTGTGGTGGTGCTAGTACCACTTCCACCATTGAATGTCAAGCTATAAGCCGAGGCCGATAATACTGCGTTAGACCCCGTGAAAGCCTCCGTTCCGGCGCCCACGCTCTGGAGATATTGGCTAGATGACATGCCTTGACTAGAGATCAAATACGTAATAAAGGCTTTCAGATCGCCGCTGAAGTTGGTTTGCTGGCTCGACGCTACAAAGCTGAACACTCGCACTTGAATATGTGATATTAGTAAATGCCTTAAAGGCATAATGGAGTACGACGAATTTTCCAGTGGCTGAGTCCCAACAGCAGAGCAGCCTCCCAATCTGCGCTACCTTTTGTTTTGATGTGTGAAGCACGACCGTGTTCGTAATGAGTGAAACAGGCATTTGCTTACTATTTCCATTGTAACCGCTGTATAGACTCCAGCTAACCCCGGCAATTGTTGGTGTAGCGACCGGACTTCCCGTTGAGCTAACTACAAGATTTAGAGTTAGTAATCATTTGTCTAGGACAGTGAATGAGAAAGGCTTTCTCTGATAAATTCTTGTCTCTGGGCAATATTTGGAGTTGGCCGTGAGGCGATCTAGAAGTTGCTTACTGGGGCCAGCGCCACCGAGTGCTGCTAGCCAGATCATAATCTCGTACTCTGCAGATCCGCTAGCCGTCGATGAGGTGAATAAGTCGTATGCAACATTGGCAACTATGGACGTCCCGGTATATCTACGCACAGTCATGAGCCGCAACAGACCGGATTGGGTGTCATGATGCCACCTACGTCCATTTCCAGATACTTTGCAGCGAGCTAACCGCTGAAAGTGAAACCACAGGTGTGCTTGTGACAACGTTTGCGTATGATTTCACCTGACCTTGGCCACCGGACCATGACCAAGTTGTGGACCATGACAAAGTTGATCCACTCAGAGAGTTGACAGTGCTGCACTGACTACCAGTGCCGGAACTCATGCCCCACAGATCTTGGTAAACTGTATATGCCCCAGTCTGTACGGAATCCCATTGTCCGCACATAGTTGTCGCCCGTGGCTTGATTCGCGATGGCGCCTGGCCAGCCGCAAGGACTACCATAACCAAGAGGATAAACGCCCACTTCATAGTGACGCAAAATTGCTTCGGTTCGAGCCAGTGTACTTATTTTATCTTGATGCCAGCTTAGACTGTGCACAAATTGCTCCTAAATTACAGTGTTCGGCATGGTTGTCTTTATAGCAGACAATGATATTCCAGCTTTTACAATATCATAGTATCGATGCTACCATTGATGGAATTGGTTTGTTTTGCTGATGGATCATTACAGCTATGCCGGATAGAAGTCAAGATAATTGGCGGAATGGCTCGTCCAGTTGCCGTAGAGGAATCGCTTATGCAGGTACAGATTGCCAGTCCATAGAACACAAGAACCTTGAAGAGGCTACGGAGCACATGGCTCCGTCAACCTTGACTAACCCTATTTTTGCGTGCCCAGCAACATTTCAATAGATCAAAAGCCCTAAAATATTCGGAAGGATGTCCTTTAGGATACTTCTTGTGTTGAATGCCGTAGAACATAGTGACTTCATGTCAGAAACCTTTGAAAGTCAGTCTGTATCCCCACTCAAGCAGCTGAGTCATAGTAGTTACAATGTCTGTTTAGCCGTCGTCATTTTCAGACACTGTCTTCTGGTCTAACAGAACGAAAAGGGATCTTCAAATGACCAGTGCTCCAGGTAACTCATAGAGTCAAAATTGCAATGATAAGGCCAAGGATTCCAATTATGATGCCAACAAGCTCCGCCGTATTCCTAGGAGACTGTTGCGTACCTGTAGTAAATGGATTGATTTCGTCGGAAGGTCCTGCTCGTTATCATTAGCGTTTATTTGCGATGCGAGAGCCCGCTAAGCCGTAGTAACGTGCACAAGACTTTGCTTTACTTGTACAAGAATTAAATGTCCAAGACGCAGACTAGTCTTGGAATAGCCAATCTAATGCGAGGTAGATGGACCAGAAGCAGCAGCAGAGAATATATGGGATCTCGATATTGTGCTTGTGTCTGCTAGAGGCTGCCGCTGACAACACAACGGTCTCAGTGGCGACTACTGTTTTGGTCACTGTTGCCGTTGCAGTCAGGCTAGACGCACCGGTCGTTTCTGCTGGCACCGATGAACCGACAGCAGTATAGCCTTTGTCAGAGCAATATGCAAGCAAGAAATTTGTTGCCGTGGCTTGGTCGTCATAGTTTGAGCAAATGGATAAAACGTCCTCACCAACCCAGCCAACTGCTTGACCTAGTGTGCTTGCGCGGCACAAGCATGCGTTGGTATCGCAACCGATCCGGTCATTGATCTTGCTCACAAAAGCACATCGACCGTCATTAACACCAAAAGGGCACTTTGCACAAACCCTCATATCAATCCATCCGGGCTGTGTGGTATAGACGATGGCATCGTCTTGAACAACTTGAGCTATGCATTTCTGAATTGCCGCAACAAAAATGACCCCAAAGACAGGAAGCTGTGCTAGGCTCCGCAGCAATGGCTGGCACGCCATGTCAAGTGCTTATAATAAGACTAGGTATACAGAGTGAAATAAAATTTCATGGGAAAATCTCGAAAGCTAGCAACTGCCTTTAAAGTGATCAGGGTAGTAGTGAGATGAGGTGCACCTTCGTGCGGCTGAAATCCAAGGACTCTAGCTTTACCAAGAGCTTCAACCTCTATCCCTTTAGATGTAATCATTATTGTGGCTGACTTTAAGCAAGCCCCCAGCACCCAAAGAAGCAATAATGTGAGCAGCGCCCCCGCCATATTATCGATAGGTAAGGATCTGAAGGGTTTGATTTGCTCTTGTACCTGTACTAACGACTGTAGGTTTAAATTTGAAGTTGTCTGTTGAGATGCCAAGCCTTGAGACCTGGTGAAAGCTTGATTCTTTGGTGTTTGGATGCTGGTGTTGTGAGCACTCACAACTACGTGCATAGAAGGAGTTAAGTAGTCAGTGAGGATTCAGGCAGGGCGATGCTGCCGTGACCAAATCAGCAATGAAAGTTGTCATGTAAAGATGATAAGGCGTAAATTGTGAGCTTAGTCGTAATTTTGCGGTATTTTCACTGAGAAAGCTAAAAGATTAAATACGATAAAGGTTCTAGAGTTTTAATTATATTACAGATCATTCATTTGTAGAGGTTAGTGGGTAATCTGTATCCTAAAGTCATCCACCCGTCATGGCCTTACACTGCAAGCTCAAAGTATTGAACAATTAGTTTCCAATCATTTGCTGCCCCGGAAGCTCCGAGAGCCATCCCTCCGTATCCTCCGTGACAGTGTTCTTCACCGCGCACTTGTTCATGTCAGCGACTGACTGAGTCTTAAGTACTCCCTGTACTCCCGGACTTCCGCATTTATGAAACATACACGAATCGTTCATAGCACGCTGCAAAGAGTCTCCTTTCCAACCAAATACATAATCTGCATGAGTCCCGTACCCGTTACCCATGAAAGACCACACAAACGGCTGTGAGCCATCTTTAGGCCACATATCTTTGAAGACAGTTGTATTCCACATCGTTTCATACGCGACTTGTGGTACACGCACTGGATGGGAGCTAGGACATGCACCCGCCTCAGCGAAACCTCCCTTGGTGGTGCTATACATATGAGACTGGTGATCGGGACTATCAAGATTCTTGCCATCCCAACATGCTGGGAAATGGTGAATAGCCATGATACCTGCAGGGCACGGCCTGCTGGGGAAATCGGGAGTCTCGCTGCCCCTTGTCAAGATCGTCTGCAGACAGGTGTATCGAAGTCCAGGATGGGATTTTGCATCAGTAAGGGTATCACTGGCAGGATTGCCAACTGTCATTCGGAAGCCCTGGAAGCTGGTTAGATCGCGCCGACTCTTTTCATCAAGTTGAAAACGTGACTGAGGCATGCGCCACCTACAGGTTGAAAAGCGGTAATATGCTGATTGCCATTAGAGTTGAAATCTTTCTGAGTATAATAAATTGTCATGCCGCCTTTGATATCTGGCGCATCGTGGCCCTCAGTCCCGAGTTGAGCATTTGGGTACTGTGGTACTCGCTTGTAGGAGCCATTTTCGTGTCTGAAATACATTACAGCCGTCCAATAATTGGAGAAGTCCTCGGTATAAGCGCAAGTCGTACAAGTCCCCTGTTCGCCAATATCACCAGTCATGG